TTTTCAAATTTTTGCGTAAACCAATACATCATTTTAATCGTAAAGATTTCTACTTTCAGAAACCCACCAGGATTTTTTCGATCTCTCAACTTTCCTTACCTTATAATCTGAAAAACTAAACCTTGTAGCAATTACATTGCAATCCAAACCCCTCCATTCAGAAGGTTATATTTTCTTTCAGAAGCTGTTTCATGAAATCGGACACCAAAATTTTAAAAATATAAATAGTTTTCTTCCTGAGGAGTATTTGAAATGTTGTGGATGTTCAGTATTTCAAAAAATCGTCCCGTTGTTCCGTTTTCTGTGCACACGCGAGTTTTTGACATTCAAACATTCATAACTTTCTTCATAATCAACTTTTTGCAAATGTCTAAGGCTAATTAGAAACTAGAAGATTAGAGCTTTCGAACAAGCACCTGAAAATTTTCCAGCGATCATTTTTTCAAAAAATAGTCCCGTTTGTTCCGTTCTTGGGTGGTTTGGGGTCCGATTTTTGAGAAGGCGCGAGTTTTCGACATTCAAACGTTAATAACTTTCTTCATACTCAACATTTTGCAGATGTCTAAGGCTAATTAGAAACTAGAGGATTAGAGCTTTCGAATAAGTGCTAAAACTTCTTGAAATAATCACTCGCTCAAAAAATAGTCCCGTTGTTCCGTTATTCCACCTTTTTTTCAAGCCATTTTCCTGGACCGCGACTATGCAGTCTTCAAAGGCCCATAACTTCCTTTAAAATTAATGTGATGAGAAGCGGTAAAGATTGTTGGAATCCACTCGAAGAGTACTTCATAACAACTGTGAAATTTTCCTGAAATTCCTTCTTCTGCCTCAATTTTCCTACGGCGTCTCTAGAACTCAATTCAGCAAATTCGCTACACTTTGTTTCGCTTAGATTTTATTTGAAAGCATCAAAACTCTCTTCAGAAAGTTTGTCTGCTTACGGCCGCTGACAGAGGAGGCGTTTTTATGGAAAACGCCTGCTCGGGTATACGCCGTGCACCTATCTGTGGGCAGAATTCGCACTCGCATTTGAAAGTCTTCTGTTTTCCTGAAGAAGGTGTTAGTATCCTGATTGAGTTGTATTGTGCTGTTATATGGCACTCTTGTTTCACTTTCCCATGAACTGCTCTACACTTTGTTCTCCTCGGGATTTCAGGAATGTTTCATCATCGAAGACAGACCATGTTTGTTGCACTACACTTGTAATCAGTATGTTAGGTCTAGTTTGGGCTTAGTGTTGACTCTTGAGTCTGGAGTGTCGCCTAGGCAAGAAGCCGCCGTTCGGATTAGCGTTCGATGTTAGAGAATATATATAGCTGATGTGAGATCGTATAGGGCTTTGCATTGCGTTCAATGCTCCCGAGGGGAGTTCATTGTCTGGGTGTGGGACCTCCGACAGCGTTCAGAGGCTTCCTGGAAAACTAGTAGTCAGCTTGAAAGTGCACTTTCTCAACAGTCGCACCTTTCAAGTTCTTACCATAGGTTAGTCCGGTTTGTGGATACGACCCTCGGTGTTCTGTTGCGCAACGCAGGGTTGACCCTTCCATCCATCCACCTTTTCTCCAGCCTCCGGGACTTCATGGAGCCGAGTTTTAAATTTTCGTCGCAAACTCCGCCCACTTTGGTCAGGCCCCGCCCACCAATGACAATTAACCTCCACTCCTCCACCCACCTCTATCCACCTTTTCCCCAGCCTCCGGAGCTTCATGGAGCCGAGTTATAAATTTTTCGTCGCAAACTCCGCCCACTTTGGTCAAGCCCCGCCCACCATTGACAGCTGGCCTCCACTCCTCCATACACCTCTATCCACCTTTTTCCGGCTCTTTAAGACTTCCCCGACCCGAATTATGAGGGCTTGTAGAAAATGCTGTACACTTCAGAGCGCGCCCCGCCCATTCTGGGCAGGCCTCCGCCCACGTCATGTATGCGGGAAACACCTTAGACATTGCTCCCTTACACCGAATTGTTTTCTGCTCTGTAGGCTTTCTCCCAACCGAGTTATGAAATTTTTCATAAAGCACTGCTTTTTTAGAGAACGCCCCGCCCACCGGGGGTGGGTCTCCCTAATTCGATGTTACTTACCAATGCACACCTTAGCCCACTTTTTGGCCCAGTTTCGAGGTCGTTTTTTCACTGAAATCGAAATCTTGGTCTTTGGTACAATTCATTTCGACGCACGCCACGCCCTCTGTGGGCGGGGCTCCGCTTAGCTGATGTGTGTTTTGTATTACGTGAGACCCTGCCCACCCATCCCACACTTGACCCGGTCCCTCCAGGCGGATCCCGAGGAGCTAGGGAATTTCGTGACAGACACACAGACAGACGACAGACGACAGACGACAGACGACAGACGAAGCGCTTTATAGTTAGTAGGATTATTTCGTGTAGTAGTACAATACATAACACGAACTTGATTAACACGTTGACGACAACGCGCGTTTTGGCTTCTTTGGACCGCGTGGGACCGGCGCGATTTTGCGAGCGCCGCCGCCTCAGGTCCATCAGGCGAATTTTGCATGGTAAATGAATAAAACATGATTGATACAAAGTTAGATTAGTTTTTCAGTGCGTAGAAGCGCCCCAGAGATACAGTAGTGAAATTTTGGATCGAAATACGGATGAAATAATAGTGAAAAAGCAAAATTTGTCAGAATCAGCTGCAATGAACGTCAAAAGCAATTTTGCATCGATTGTTGCAATCAAAACACATATCTTGTCATCCTTGAGGTTCCGTATTGACTTACACTACCCTTTAAATATTCACATTCATGAAAAGAAAATGTAAACAAAAAATCAACTAGACTGACGATTTCGTTCGGTTCAGAAAACCTCCCCTAATTTGAAGCACACGTGACCACTCTAAGAGCGACTATGTTTCTATCTATGCTAAGGTTTTCTCTATGGAATGAATACAAGAAGCCTAAAAATGAATCACGTGTGCGAGGAAAAAATGAATGCATTGGGTGCAGGACACATACGTCCCGCGTTGTCCGTTATGGTCTGCAAAGTGCGGGACGTATGTGTCCTGCGCTGTCGCCAAACTGTAAAGCTAAGACATCGTTGAAGAACATTAAGTTAGATAAACTAAATAAACACAAGAAGACGATAAGATAGAAAACCTATTCCTTCATGATAATTTCACACGGCAATATGACACAACCTAGTCGAATTACACCAGTTGTTTTTACATAGATGAAGCAAATAACTAATGTGATGATTTTAAGGTTTTTCTTTGTATGTTATGATTAACCATTCGCGTTTCCAACCGTTTTATAAATCGTTTTTTTAATGCCACTGCGGCTCCCAGACAATACCTAACCATATGGGCGCGGCCGCGGCGAACGCGGCCGAGTCGATTGTGCCCGCGAACCGTTGAAAACGCACTCGAGGTGCCCGCGAACTGTGCTGTGCTGAGTTCGCGGGCACCTGTCAACTCGGCCGCGTTTGCCGCGGCCGCGCCCAAACGGTTAGGTATGTCTGGGAGCCCTCTCCTCATTTATGATGAGCACAGGGAGGTATTCGATTCGTGCCGTCTTAAGGCCGTGCGAAACGGACAAAATCTGATTCTTTGAGACCCCCCCAAAAATGTTTTCGTTACTTTAGTACTTATGAACTAGTCCTACATTTATTATTTTAGCCTTCGCGTCACAGGTCCCCGTCATTTAGAGGAAAGGAGCACCTATGACGTATGTACCATAAAGTTAATTATGTTTCTATGAGAGAACGTTCTGGATGCGTCATGTTCTAATAGGTAATTACTATAATGAGCGATAGCTTATATGAGGACAATTGACAGATTAAGGTACGCTTATCTCCACAAGCATCATTTGAGCAGAATTCAATTATACTACTTGATATCGAAAATGAAGCAGTGGAATAACACTACGTTGCCAAAGTAATAACGAAGCAGAGAGCTTGAAACCCAATCACCAGCCGCAATTAAATCTTCCACTCGGTAAAGTAATCAAGTCGTTGAAATGTTGAAAGAATTTGTTCGTGAAGGGAGCAGTTGTGCTGCACAGAAAAACCATGATGAAAACGCCGTGAGAGCACATAGAGAATATGTGCGATCAAGATTTTGAGAGGCTGACTAAAAGCCAAAAATGCTCTGTATTACATGCATAGTGGAACAAAGGCTCACCGATAATCAACCCCTTTCTGTGATGCGCCAAGTACTCCACTTCCACTATTTTGGTGGCAGTTGAATGCGTTTTTGGTTTGTAGAGGCGCATGATGGGTAAAATAATGTGATAAACGAGTCCACAGTGTCTTACCATAGGTAATGACAAGTGATTATACGACACGGCGGTGGATAAGCGCGGTCGCACAAAGGCGATATTTACGATGAAAGGAACATGGGAATAAATTAAAGGTGGCAGTGATGCTCGAAAGAAGGAGAAACGGAGAGGAACGGCTTAGAACCCATGGAAAAAGCGGCCCTCGTAGCCCCTTCATTTCGCATGGTGCACTCTCATCGATGCTCCTCCTCATCGCAACGCGCTCTCTTTCTGCCAAACGACCAGGGGCTCATACAGCGAGAGAGGGAACGCAACGCGCCAATAGCGCTGCGGGGAAGACCAAGCTAGATAGCGAGGGCATCTCCTTCGAAGCGAATTGTCTGTCCGTACACACCTTTAGGGGGTCCGCCTGTCTCACTACCAGGCAGCTATCCCTTTCTCCGACCTTCGCCTTTATCGTGGAATCCTCTTCCTATCGGTAAGCAATTCATAGGGCATGCGCGTGGTAGCAACGCTAATAGTCAGCGCTCCATCTCCGCCTTTCTTTGAATTGTTCCATCGAAAACCTCAACATTTCGGATGATTCTGTTCTGATCTGTCATAGTAATAGAGAGGAAAGGTAAAAGATAGCTTTAATTCTCTCCAGGAAAGTTTAAAACTAGTCCTCTTGCTAGAAGTGGTCGTCCAACTTGCGGGCACTTTCCTCAAATATCTTGCTTTCGCTTTTCTATACATAACTGTAAAGATGTACGTATTTCAGTTTTCGATCGTCAGCAAGGGAATGTCGAATTGTATGAGCAGATTCACAAGGAGTTTAGTGAATTGGTCGATACACTTGTAGAGTGCTTTTGTGCCGACACAAATATTCCATTGGAAAATCTTCGCGAAGCTCTAAAAACCGCTGAAGCCGATAAACTCACTGTCAGGCAGAGGGTATGATGTTGTTTTTCAAACTTTCATGTTGTGAATATGAGTACGAAAGTCCCCCGTGCTGTGGCGGGTCTAAATTTTTTTTTTTTTTTTTTTTTTTTTTTTTTTTTTTTTTTTTTTTTTTTTTTTTTTTTTTTTTTTTTTTTTTTTTTTTTTTTTTTTTTTTTTTTTTTTTTTTTTTTTTTTTTTTTTTTTTTTTTTTTTTTTTTAATTAAAAATAGTACTGCTGTGTATGTATGGTATCTATTACTTCAGAGTATGCTCGTTCGCTTCGGTTGGCTCCGATACGCACCTACTTACACATCTCGCAGTCGCTTCGTCTCGTCATTGTCGTCGCCACTTTGCGTCGTAATTAGATTGAAAAGACCAAAAACTTGTTTGACTCTGTCGCTATTCATCCAGATAATGCGGGGCATTCCAGGACAAAGTAGAAGGGGGCAGGAACACCGTGGAAAACGGGAAATACTCCGCACTAGAGAGTTTCCCCCACGTCCATATTTAATGTTGATATTTCCATACATTCAGAGAAGAGGGAATGGGTCGTGAAATTTCCAAGGAACCAGCGTTAGAGTTGACCATGGCCCGCACTGCTCGCAACGTGCGCAGCGGCGCAAAGAATAACAGCTGTCTAACATGCCGACAACGTAGCGGCACGTTCTCCGAAAGCGTCCGCTATGTGTTCGTTGTCCTTCACCAACCACAGCATCGTCTACGAACATAACCACCTTTGTTTTGATTTGAGTTACATAAGGAGCGACGCTACTGCTTGAAAAGCGGATGAAGAAAGACACACAAGAGACTTGTTTTGTTTGTTAACTGCTGTTTTGGCCGCAGTTCGCCTTGCGAATGTTTCACAAGAATGCTGGGTTGTGAACAAAACTTTCGCCCCAGGCGGGACTCGAACCCGCACCTCTTGCTTAAAGGCATGCCCCAGGATCACATTGGTGTGGCTCTTGCACACGAATGCGAATGTATTGGTGCGAAATGGGCCGGCAGTAAAGAAAAAAGGAAAAGAATCCGTCGAAAACGCTAGGTTAAGGGCTCACTCACCTTCCTAATCGGCTGTGCTAAGGGAATGAGAGACTAAGCGCGGAGAGGAGAGTATGAGGCGAGAGAGCGCTACAGATGAGAGAGCGCCAGACAACAGCCTGATAAGAGAAAAAATCTGCAGCTTCAGCAGCTTACTTTGCAAGGCCCAAGCGCTCTTGTCGGTTGGTTTCCGTGCACGGGAACGCCACATTTGTGATTGTCCTCTAGGGTCTATACTACAGACCGAAGAGAAGCGTTCACACGACCTCTGCCTGGGTTGTGCCTTTAAGGGCGAGTGCCCTACAAGTTACGCTACCGGGGCACCATTTCATCCAACTCAGCTTTTCATGGTATACGTACCATAGCTTTCAGCACTCACACGTATAACGTGTTGAGCCGGTTAGCCGATATCGGCAATGACCGCGAGGCTGAAAGCTTTAGCAATGAATTTTGACTTGTTTTTGTTTGTTAACTGCTGTTTTGCCGCAGTTCGCTTTGCGAATGTTTCACAAGTATGCTGGGTTGTGAACAGCATTCAGCCTTGCGGTCATTGCCGATATCGGCTAACCGGCTCAACACGTTATACGTGTGAGTGCTGAAAGCTATGGTACGTATACCATGAAAAGCTGAGTTGGAATGAAATGGTGCCCCGGTAGCGTAACTGGTAGCGCACTTGCCCGGAAAGCGAGAGGTGCGGGTTCTAGTCCCGCCTGGGGCGAAAGTTTTGTTCACAACCCAGCATTCTTGTGAGGCACAAAAGAGTATTTACGCATATTTTTGTTGTCTTCTCAGGAATTGTTGTTTGTAGACAAGTCTGGAGCCCTTAGCTGCTGCCAAGGATTTCAATGTTTTCGTACCGATGATGATGAGGAAAAATGTAGAATTGCAGCTGCAGGCCCTTCAAATGATCGAGGTGGGCGTGATTACACCATTCAGATTTCCGGTAATGAGGTTCTGACGGTACTGTTCTTTTCAGTTTATGTGTGGTTTACTCCCGTCGGTACTGCAAATCGAGGATGGCGAAACATTGAAAAATAAGGCTAGAGTGGTTACCCCTGAAGAAACCGAACGATACGTTCTTATTGCAGTAATGAGGTAAGGCTCAAAATAACACCTAATTAGCAGGAAAAAGGTCGATATGTTGGCTCGGAAATGGATGGGAAAGTTCTGGTCCAACCGCTTGGGCGATATTGTAGGACTTTTTTGCGAGGTTTGTAAGTGTTGTTTTTATGATTGGTTTGATCTATGATTCCAAATGTCAGCTTCTAGAAAACTCAAGGCTGCTGTAGTGTTGACCCCCCCTGCCCGCAAGTACTGTAGAAAGGAGGTATTCCCTCTTAAGCTCGTATGGCATTATTACACTGTGAACCGATATTTTTGCTTTTGTTGCTTGAGTTTATCAGAGGTGTTCAATAAGCCTTCTGCAGTTCTGGTTGCATCACAGTTGCTACTACAGTGTGGGTCTTTGCGAACGCATTTGGTCGGGTTGCTTTGTTTTTCCTGTGTCTTTCGGTTCTCCAATTTGGATGTGTGTGCTTTGATCTTTCTACTTTTTTGAACATTGCACTGATTTGAGGTTTCAGAGCATTAGAAGAAAAATCTGTATTCACCCTCATCACTTTTGAGAAAAGAAAATCTGACGCATGAAAAATTGCTTCGGCGAGCACTTTTGACTGCTACTGTATATGGTTTCATTAGCAAATGGCGTATTACGCTCCTCGCTTGTACTGTCTAGGGGTGCTGCTACTGTAGCGCAAGGTCCCCTCTAACGAAAGGAATGAGTAGCAGCCCTAGCACGATCGAAGTTATTATTAGTTTTCAACTTCTTCGCTGAACGGATGGGGGAGCCGAAGGATGTAGGCAAAGTGATTAGCAAAGGTGCCTTATCAAAGGTTGCAGTGAGGCCATTGTGCGAACGTTGGTCTAGAGAGGACTATGATTTTGAGGCCGTCTGAATTCATCCGATTCGGCTTGAAAACCATTTCCGAGAGTAGAACTTGAACGGGGTTTAATTTTAACACGTTGACGACGAGCGATTTTTTCCTTGTCGCGCGCATGGGACGAGGCGTTTTTTGCATGCAAAGCGCCGGTAACAACGGGGCCAAAACTTATTTTGTAGCTCTGTAGAATCTCGAAATGCATAAATTGCCTTTGACTAAAGCAATGGCACGTTTAAACGAGGGAAAAGTGGTTGTTACTACTGAATGCTGGGTGAAATTTCAGTGACATCGCCTGGCATTTTCAAACCTCAGTTAGAATAGGTTCTGAAGGCGCAATTTCACGCATTCTTCATTTTTATTATTAATATGAGCTTTCCTTTAGATGGTACTGGTATCCTGATCACATCTGAAATCTTCTACGAATTTTTCACTCAAGAATGACGCAAAAAACTTTGCGTACCTGACGGAATGAGCTTTTGTTTGACTGGTTATCTTGTTCTTCATGATCGAATAAGTGATTTAAGCGAGTCATTTCAAGTGTCAAAAAACTTGTTTGTGAAATATTTGGCAGTTGATGGACTGGATAGGTACTTTTCCCTGTTATGGGGGAAGATGGCACTTCTGCATCATGGGAGGTAGGCTAGGAATGGACATGTTTATTGGGTACTGAAGCCTAATTAGTAATGTCTATATGACAATTTGGTGGTTTCTGGTTTGGCTGAGCGGGGGGAACTTCTGTAGTTGTGATCGGGCCGCGTTTTGGCCGCTGATACTTATTTCATGATAAACTCCCAGGATTAGAAGATCTATTCGATGCAAGTGTAGTAAGTTAGGACACTGTAAAAGTAAACATTGAAATAGAAAAGTCGCGGGTTCCATCTAAGTTTGCTTACTTTCAAGCTGTCGGTCACCATTGACCGACATCGTCCCATGTGACAGACTGCCTGTCGGTCAGCATTGACCGACATCGTCGCCAACGTGTTAAAAATGCAACAAAGCAAAATTTAGGAACCCATCTCCTTTCTCGTTTTGTATCACCTGACTTGTATCAATGTGACTACCGGGTCTCTTCCGCATCGCGGCGTGGGTGTACAATCCTGTAATAACCCCAACGATACTTCGAAGGTTTGATCCGGTCCCAACAGCGATTACACATCTCAGTTTGGGGCTGTTGCTTTTGAGAAGTGAACGGATAAACCTTTTACCCTCCGCAAGTGCAGAACTCATAGGACACCTTAAATAGAACCAAAGGGTAATCAAAGATTTCCACAGGAGCAAATTCGAAGGAGATTGTGGTGGGCCAAGAGTGACCCATGGAGCTATTCGATTTACAAATGGTATTCGCTGTACAGAATGAGACAGTCTTCATTGATTATGACACTTCCGTTAATTTTTTTTCTCTAAGTAGGAAGTGGAAGCCTATGTGAGTCATACTAGCACTCCTGTCCGATAATCACCAGTTGGACAAACATAAGATGATAGCTTTTGACAACATACATTAATGTGAGGTATCGAGTGCCCTCCCTAGAGGCGGCGTCATAGACTCTTTGGGAAGGAGCTCTTGGCGTAGTTTGTAACTCAGAAGCTTCGAACCTTGCAAGCCTCTGTTGAGGAAATAAAAGGTTGGAGCAAGAGGTGGATTAAGGCTGTTTCCAAGTAATCACTCGTTTGGCAGCAGGAATATGTGTTAAGAGAAATTAATTTTTTACAAGGAGATCTAAATGGGAAATTTGCAGGCAAAGCAAGGAAGAGTTTGATAGCCTTTCTAAAAGTGAGATGAAAGAATTGGAAGATGTACTACGAAGCAGTGAAGAGGAAAGAAGACGGCTAGAAATGGAACGTGGGAAAGGAAGAAGAACTGTTCAGTCGTGCTTTAGCTGTGACAAATGAGGTGGGGTATTCAGTAAAGAGTTTACCTACTACAGTTTTGAGGGTGAAGATAAGTTTGTAACTAGTCCAATTCTGAAGATGATTTCCAGAAGTCGTGACCCAAGATCAATTCGGTGGGGTAAGAAGACTCGATAATGAAAAT